GAGGAGTAATTATCGCTGTGTTTTCAATGGGCTCAATTCCAATAGTGATCTGAATATTCTTTTCGATCTCAAACGCCCATTCAGAGGTTTGGACTAAGCCTCAGTGAGATACGATATTATGCACTATGCCACCGATGAGCACCGCCTTTGGCCACTGCTGCAGTACTGCCCCGATTAGTAGTAGCCTCCAATTACTACCTTATTTACAGTTGACATCAAAATGAGCCACGATCAAGGAATATCCTACAAGGGATTCCATTGCATTGACTGAAGAGGGTAAAATGATAAAGGCTTTTTGGCTTTATATCGAAAAAAGGAGAGTTAGGAGAATCATGGTTGGGCATGGTCAAAAATGTAGCCCTTAGTGCCAGCCAGAGCGAGGCACGGTAGAGGGCACCGTAAGGGGTTGTAGGGTCATGGGAAATAGGGGTAATAAGTCGTATTTCATGAAAACTACTGAACACGTGGCTCGCCCTCGCCGATAACTATGCATGAATGAAAAGTGTTAACAGCTGGTCAAAGAAAAGTTTCATTGAAGTTTAAATAAATAGAACGATTGATGAATTAGTCAGTCGTAGAGTGGAGCACATGAAGAATATTGTGACTTCGATGAGATAAGGGTGGGCACGAGTGGAGTGCGAAATGGAGTCAGCTGTTGGTGAGCAATAGGCATAGGGCAGATGTTGACGATCTCAATGATTCAAGGAGTAAGGATGACCGCATGACTCAACTCGGAGAGGATCGATAGACGAATATCAACGATGATTTGCCCGCTTAGGCAAACACACTTGACGGAGCCGCTCTTTGAATTGCGATTTCAATCTCTTTCATAAACCTTCAAGCTCCTCCCACTACTACGCCAGGTGAGCTAGGTGAAAAGTAGCTCTAGGAATTGTATAGGTAAAGCTCAAGACGTGAGCAAAAGCTCACCGGACGGGGGCGATCAATGCTCTTATCAGAGCAGTGAACATTCCTGAGCAATAATGAAGAACGATTAAACATCTGATAAAATCCGTACAAAAAGCGCTTTCGGTACGAAAAAAAACTAAGTAGTACAGAAGTACTTGCAAAAGATGTTTAGCAATGATATACAGCCCAATTATCGCAGATCTGAACAGCATAGGATTGGTAAACTCCAACAGCACGGCCCTAGCAGGCCTGAGCACCCTGGGCTAAACCTGAGTAAAAGGTCCTTGACAAAATTCCACCTGGCTCTTATAAACAAACAAGAGGAATGCACGTGCGAATCACCCGAGGAGTGACTCATGTTTGTCGTCGTTGATCAACAATCACTATCGTATCACAACCATGGGCCATGAGGTATTCATTGGGTGAGGAATAGGGATCACACTAGACCACTCCACTCCTCCTTCCCCCCCCCCCCACCAACTCTTTACACTTTATGCGGTAATTGTTGTGATGATAAAGTGCGTTTGCCCATCCACTGTTGAAGAACCAACCGGGAAAGTGATCTTTGATGAAGTTGCTGGTCGATTGAAGATTAATCACCCATAGCGACTCAAATATTTTTAAAGTTAGCCTCATCTTATTGTGATGAGCGGCGCTTCATGTTTATGAGCCGATGTGTACGGGGGGGAAGGAGTGATAAAAAAGAGTTTTTCTCTTGATAAGGGCACATTCGAAGCCACTGAATAGTATAAAAACTGCATGGACGACATCAGGAGAATCTGTCACGGGTACAGATGCGAGGTTCGAGCTCATGGCCTTTTCGAGAACGAGGACTGCATAAATCTGAAAAAGGGGGAGGGGGGGGGGGGGGGCAGAGAAGGCTCGTTGTCTTCTGTGGCTGGCTTTTCAGGATATACAGTGCGTACCAAAAGTATGTGGACACCCTGGAATCGATTCTCAGGGGTCAGCTAAAGGCTTTTTGTGTTATGAAACCTTCACCATTCAACTCCTAGTGGTCGATAACCTACAATGACATTCTCGGCAAAAGATTTCGTTCTAACTTAGCGAACTATTTTTCATGGAAAGTTTTTTCTTTGTATCAAAATTATGTGGACACCCTGAGGCAGATGAAGTTTTTGCATCGATTTCCTAACCTATTTTTACTTCTCCTTTCGTTACTTATTCTGGCATCATTCCTCTTCAGAATTAATTCGTATAGCACTACCAACTTATACGCATAAACTGATTTCCCGATCTTAAGAAAGACCAATCGGTGTCTCATTCAATCAAATTGAGCACACGACGACGCAGAAAGAAGATAAAGAAGGTTTGTACATGAATGCGGGTTCAGGTTGGCAAGGTTGGAATTCCCACTCAAAAAAGGATCACAACATGATAATCTTGAACCCACACAGACAGCGCTTTCGTGGAAATGGTAAAATTAGTATAAATAGTAAAATTTTATAAAAGACTTTCTGTAATTTCTTTCATAGACCAACTCGACTGGCAGAAAGAAGCTTATTCCTTACTATTCGGGTGGGTCTTGAGGTTTTTGGAGAGACTTTGGTCGGACCCGCAGATGTGCTCGAAGAGACAATTCGGAAGATGTTCATCAAAGGTCTGGGGTGGTTCCAAAAGGAGGGGGACATTGAAGTTTGGCTTGCCAACATGTCAGGTAGACGACTAGGATTATAATGAGGTGCTTGAGTCCGGCTACAACCTTTTTCGAAAAGTCATGGTTGCAAATCACTTGTTTTGCAGGGGAGGTCCCTGACACCATTCCATTTGGAAAAATGCTAAACGCAACGGCTTTGATTGGCAAGTCGGCTAGCGTATTCCTCAGACTTCATCCTTATTGAAAACGTAGAGGTATCGTGGTTCGCGGTCTCTACGTCATTGAACAAAAGAGTAATATCACAAGTGACCTAACACGTCGGTGAAATTTGCCTAGTTGGGAACAGATCTGCAAGACATGTGCATACAGACCAGGTTCATAGCATGCCAAACAGAATGGCTCAACTTACTAGAAACTTTGGTAGGCCTACCGATTTCAGATTCTGAAGATATTGCCGTTTTTCAAAAAGTGTCCACATAATTTTGATACAAAGAAAAAACTTTCCATGAAAAATAGTTCGCTAAGTTAGAACGAAATCTTTTGCCGAAAATATCATTGTAGGTTATCGACCACTAGGAGTTGAATGGTGGAGGTTTCATGACATAAAAGCCTTTAGCTGACCCCTGAGAATCGATTCCAGGGTGTCCACATACTTTTGGTACGCACTGTATTTGCGGTACAACTTTTCCGACAAACAGACGGCGCCCTGTGACAGGAAAAAGTATTTGCTGGTACACGTCATGCGGCAAAAAGTGCTTCTTCAGAATCCCTTCTGCATATTTCATGCTGGGTGCGTCAGGGGTTTTACACTAGTAACCGATCAGTTCGGTTGGGGTAGTCAGGCCTGATAATGAAAGATTGTGCGCTGTTGCTCATTTATCGTTGTTTTCCACGACTGCCTTATGCGTCTTTTCAAATGGATAAATAAACAAATGCGTGGAAAAAGTGATTTGGGTGCGTAACTTCGCGTGACCCCACACGATCCTCTCGCGTAAAACAAAGGCGCTGAAATGTGTTAGGACCAATGCGAGTTGCAGGCGATAAACAGGCGCGTTTACAGCTTCCAGCGGACGTCTTCTCAGATAAGGCATCCGGGCAGCACGACTTAACGATTATCATACCAAGGAAAGATCTTCAAGCGCTGTTTAGTTACACCCAACGAAAAAATGAAGGTGTTGTTACGCATCCGGGTTGAAGATGGAGGAACGATTGGCGAACATGTTTGTGGTAAACTTTTCGTTGCCTTCAGACTTGAGGGGAACGCTGAATAGAAATGCAAGTTGAAGCCTTTTGAAAGCTATGTCGTATTTGCCATTGCTTGTCGAGCTGTTTGTCAACAGATGGTTCCAACTATAAAAGGTCTTCCTTGCGGATTGTCAAAGTTAGCGCCATGTGGTGCCACGGCCTTTTGTTACTGATCACCTTTCCCATACTTTCGCTACAAGAACGTCGTACGTCACATTTGGTGAGTTGCGGTCGCACACTCGGAGATGTTGAGAACAGATTTTTCGTGGCGTATTTTTTGTTTACCTTTTTTTTCTGAAATTTTTGTTGTTGCGTCATAGATGCTATACTACAGCATAGTAGTTTGTACAAGCTCAATAGGTATGGAAAAAATCAAATGTAGCTTTTGGCATTCAATATATCTGCGTACGCCACGCATTTGACCTAACCCGAATTTGCGAGGTTGCTCAGACTATTCCTGCTGTTCACGTTTATTTAAGACATTTATTAGTGTCCAGATTTTTTGGTACCAATATTTCTGTATTAATAAAGTAACGGAGATGCCAGCAAACTGATCAGAAATGCCTTTGAGCTGCGCAGAGGGAACGGCGCCTTTTTCATAGCCCCCTTGGCCCCTCCAGTATTACAACATCAAAATAATCGCTAGTATGTAGTGAAATTAAAGGGTTCTGAGATTGAGCTCAGGGTGAACAACGGTCGAAGAAATCCTCGACCATGTCTCTGTACTGTGTGAGAAAAGTGTAGAAAGTGAATATACGGCTCACTCTTGGCAAGAGTGAATGTCCGCACGGGAGAGCGTGACTGAGCAGGCGAAAATCCTCGACGAGTCGTCGATGAATCCTCGACCGATTTTCACCCCGTTCAAGGTTGGTATGGAATCATAACATTGTCAAAAATATTATTCGTTACATAGTTTGAATACATGTTAACAAAAATTTTCCAAGAACCTAAGGAAAAAAGCTAAAATTGGACGAATAATTGGAAACGATCCACAGCATCTTTAACGAATACACCTTTTTGTGTAATATTTATCTGCTTTTTTCAGGGCGGTAGTGAAACCAAGAATGGCTCTCGCATGATCACTGTAAATGGAGAATCACGGTATGTTGCCATTCAAAGGAATCATGCGTGGGAGCACGGAGTATTTCTTCTCCGCATGAACATGTGCGTCACGTGCGATCAGTAGTTGCAGCGTACAAATTTGTATGTGAAAATACAGTCCTGGAATGAAGGTGTGGACAGTTCAAAGACACCTGGGCGGAGCCAAGGGGCTTTTGGAACGATGTTGTGGCAGGGCAGCCACGTGCTAGGTGAAGCGTCGCAAAAAGTTTCATTTTTTGCTTTCGCATTTGGAGATTCGATAGAGCCTAAAAAAGAGAAAAGGGCAAAGAAAAAATTTCCTGGTGACGGCACTCTGAAAAAGAAATGAGAGCTTCATCGCCTCCAACGTCTGTGACTAGGATGAATTTGAACGAGTAACATAGCTAGCTTCTAGCTTTTTTGGCTTGTTTACTGGAACACGCGCCGCTTTTTGTTCTTTTCTTTCCTTTCGTAAAGAATGGACCTCATTGTCCCCGATCCATGGAGAAATCATACGATCATGGAATCAAATCATGGACATGCAGTCGCTGTTAACGATTCCTTCGATTCCCTTTGCCTTGTTGTCCAACATATATTGTCAGAAGGACATATAGCTAGCTCACGCCAGAATAAACCCTGCGGGCGCTCATAGGGTGACATTCAAAACGGGGCATTGGAAAACCGCGATCTAGCACTAAGCGCAGGTGAGGGGGTGGGGTGGACGTAAGAGCGGAAAGATATTGCTCACATTCTTTCAGAGTCCCTTCCACTACATATGGCTCAGTACCAGGAAGTATGGCTTACGCACTTAGATGTCCTTTCCCCACGTCCCTCCCCCACTACCCAACGACATGAGCGCCGTCCAGCGGATCTAATCCTGTGCCTACCAACATTCTTATCTTGCCCAATAGTTGATTCGATTGGAATGTTGCCTGTAGAGAGCACTTGGGAATAGTTCCAACCCTGTGTTGCTCCTGAGGGCCCATAAGCAGCAACTGTGTTTGCAATATGGTGTTCGCTCACATGGGGACCAATTTTGAAACCGAACCCATTCGAGAGAGCGTTCTTTTCGTGGCCCCTACCCCCTCATCGTTGATGAAGGGGAAGCTGCGCACCCACAGAGCTATGTTCCTCTGTAGCGACGTGATAGAGCTTCACCCCTACCGCAGGACGCCGCCGTGCCATTATTGCCTCCGATGCTACCGGTCCCTAGCCTTCGGAGGCGGACAGAGATGCAGAAGCTCAGATGTACAGGTGAAGCCTTTCTAGCGGAAAGGCAGAGCAGGTTTTGGTGATGTCAGTGCAATTCGTTCAGATAGCCATCATCGGGGAAGTGAGGATCCCGTGTTTCGAGTTTCAGAACGTTCTGGCTCTCTTTTCCTCTGCATCCCACTCAGCGCTCCTTGTTTCATTTTTAACAGTGACTAATTTATTCTACCCTCTATCTTCAACAATAACCATGCTCGTTCCATGCAACACTTTCCAGATTGGTACACATGCATGGCGATATGATCATGAGCAAAGCGCTGATGCAGAAAAAGCAAATCATGGCTTCACAGAAGAGGAGAAAGCGGTGGGCCTATCGTGACTCATTCTACCCAGAAACCATCTGGCAGGATGGTGTACCGTATGAATTTGACCCCAGCCTTTGTAAGTTGGCACATGTAATCTTCAGCTACAACTTCAAAGTAGACGTGACATTTATAGATTAATTTCGACATTTTTTTCAGCAAATATATCTGAGTTGAGTCTCACAAATGCAATGAAATTTTGGCAAGAAAACACGTGCGTAACGTTCCGTCCGCGCAGCAACGAAACCCAGTACATTCTCTACACTTGTAAGCTCTTGTCATGCTTCACCTGCTTATTTTCTGTTTAATCCTTAATTACATTGCAGCAGAAAATGCTGGATGCTTCTCAACAGTTGGGAAAGGACAACAGCCAACCAGTACAACCGGTGAATATCGGCAGAGGATGCCAGCATGTGAGAGTTTCTGAGCACAGTTTTGAAACGCTGTGATCAGCGTCAAATGCTTGATTCTTTATCCTCATCTGAAGCTGTCTGCCATTCCATGAGCGAAAACCAAAAACCTGATAAGGGGTTCCGTTTTGCGTTTTCTTGACGATTTGAGCACTCCTACGTCCCATGTGTGTCCCTCCAGGACATATCGTAATCGCTGCCTTTAAATGCGCGACCACCTTTCTAAAGATAAGATCGGTATCTGATCTGCCCACACGGTTAGATCACAATTCTACGGTTTTCAGCAGTTACTGTTCTGCTGCTTTTCATGCGATTAGTGTGAGTGCGACCAGATACCCCGGATAGTTTTCCTTTTTAGGGGGGGGGGGGGACATGGGGTACACTCCATTACTTTACTAGAGGTACTCAATACTAATGTTAATAGGCGAACGTGTTCTAGACACGCGTGGCGCATGCGCTCAGACTGTGCCTGTCGCGCAATGCATTTTGTATCTTACTGATCGCAATAAGCTTGTCCTACGCCATACTGGTTGTGGAGCAGTACTATTACAAACATTTGAATTTGATTAGTGATGGAAAATTATGCGAGGTCGAGGAGCCAAAGTAGTTTAAAAGACTTGTTCAAAAAGCGAACCGAAGGCATCACTGACAACGGCTAATGTTGTGCTGAATGAGCTTCTCACGACTAAGGGCGGCACAGGAAGAAGGGAGACCTGGTTTGAGTTACTAGGTAAAAAATACGACTTTCTCGCTTCTCACGCAGTGCGATCACTTCTTTCTCCCTTGCAGATACTAGCTCAACCACATGATCAAGAGGCATTATCCTGGGTTTCTCAGCCGTGAAAAAATGTTTGGTCTGCCTTGTGAAAATCGGAGAAAAGTCGATTGTTTGCTGTCCTATGCGTAGCCCAGCACCTCGAGGAGCCCAGCGAAAGGCTGCAGCCGATCCGCCAAGGTCGGGGACGTCAGACACGTTGCCAGGTCTTCCGCGCTTGATTAGATCGAGTGTTAGATTATGGCCAGCGCTTGCGCTGGCTATATACGCCGACGACTTTGGCCTGCCATTCCTCGTTCGTTTGACTTCTAGACGCTAGTAATAGAGAGCGTTAGCGTAAAGAGATACAAGCACCGATTAAGCACGTACCTCAACTGCATCCAAATGCTAATGGAGGCGGGGAACCGCCTTTTCTCGGCTCCTAGAACTCGGTTTTGATGTTTTCCGTCATCCTTAGCATACACTGACTACTGGCTACCTCTACTTTGATTTCTAGTGAGCTGGCTTTTATCGTAACACTTTTCAACTTTTCACCTTTGAAATGCAATATCCAATAGTTCAGTTTTTTCTTCTTTTTTTGTTTTTCCAAGAGGTTTTAGGTTCCTAAGAGTTGTTTGTTCAGTTTGGCATAACCACGCACGAAATCGCTCATGCCCTCGGTCTGTTCCACCATCAACAGCGCTACGATCGCGATGAATACATTACGTTCAACGAAGAAAATGTGCAATTTCAGATACTGGCTAAATTTTGCAAAGGTGGTTTTCAGCTAGTTATCCTCTTTTATTCTTCGCTGCTCAACATATATTTGTCAGATCCCAAGCAAGTATCTCGACACCTTACGGGCTTCCGTACGACATCGGGAGCGTCATGCATTACACTCCAACCGAGTAGGTGATCGCTCTATTACTGATTGCTTAGGGCTCCAGCGACATTGTTACAATTTTCAGGTTCTCTGATAACCAATATGCTTAACGCAGCATCACTGCTAAAAACCCAGATTACATAGGAACTATGGGGTCTATGGACATGCCTTCTTTTCTGGATGTTCAGATTATTAACAGACACTATTCCTGTCATGGTAAGTGATGATTAGGCTATGATATACAGGGGGGGGCAAAAAAAAGATTTTTGCCCAGGTTGCACTTCAGCCTTACTTCTTCGTAGAGGTTGCCATCGATGACGAGGCTCATCCACCTCGCAAAATATCCTAAATGCCCACTACTATAAATACACACTAGGCCCCTCCTTCACTATCTTTCCCTCGCTCTTCAGAATAATGACGCTCAATTTATACACCGCGTCGTCGAGCTCAGGGAAGCCTACAGTAACTGCTTCAGCCTGAAGCTCTTACATAATTTCTTGGATCGATTCAACGTGGGATAGTTTCCTAGGGACATTAGCTCTAACTATGCAAACCCCCTCGAACCCGCCCTTCGGAACCCGTCGTAACGGTACGCGATCAGTCGAGAACCCCATTGAGCTCTGACCCAGATCACCATTCCCAGGCAAACCCTTTCTGATGGCCAGTCCACAGAGAGGCGACCTAAGGAAATTTTTCTTGTAAATAGGTAACCTACGTCTTCTTCATATTCTAAATTGGGAGCACAACGGCGTTTGAACTTGAGCAGAGTGTATAATACAATCCCTTTGAGTCTGGCGAACAAAATGTTTTTATTGCCCCCCCCCCCTGTATTGTACGTATTTCTCTGCCTCAGAAGCTGAGAGCACTTGGATGTGTTTTATTCAATCGCCCTGCATGCAACAGAGAACCCAGCCGCTCTGTTTGATATCGGAGGCTACGTAGATCCCAGTAACTGTAACCTGTCTTGCAAGTGAGCCTTTCGTGATCCTCTTTCATCAGATTCCCTACCGAAACCTTTTGCAGATGTCCGACAGGTTTTGCTGGAGACGTATGCCAACTGATTGCTTCATCAGCTCCGATCCAAATGTGGCGGCCTTATACCGACCACTTCATCGTTGACCAGAATGAGAATTCGACTCACTTCAGGAGGGCCACGGCGGAAGTGTGTCTACCATATCAGGGTGAGTGTCGTTCCAGGGGATCTTCAAGCTAGACCGCTTAGGTTATAACTCTCCATATTATAGGCTCCTCCCAATCGTCGAGTTATGATTGGTTTGAAATCCGTTAAAGGAGACTGCCAAGAAGGGTGTTATAGAACACACGGTGGAAATGAAGATGGGTGGCGATTTTCGTCCAGTCGGATACAGGTAATTCAGCCACATGTCGGGGTCAACTAGCTGTCCAGCAGATCTCTGGAATAGATTTTCCTTCAATAAAACGTTGGGGCTTTCTTTGACATCTATGCAACTCAAGGCGATAATGGATACGCACAACAGGGGGGTCGGTAATATTGTGCAATTGCCTACTGTTCTTAAATTACAGTCTCTATTGCGAATATTTCACAGAAATGCTGTTCTACTAACAAAGCTGCCGCCCTAGGTGGGACTTGTAGGAACTTGTAGCACACTTGTACGGCAAGCGGAAGGTGGGGGTTTGAGTCCCTACTGGGGCGAAAGTTTGTTCATAACGCAGCATCATCAGAGACCGCAAAACGCACCGGATACGGCGCGCCTCACTCTCGTTTCCATCACGATGCATCTGACTAAGAGATAGGTTCATGAAACTTCGCCTGTCGCACGCTCTTCTTTATCTCCTGAAGCGTATTGGCGGCTGAAGGACGAAAGGGTTCCTATCAGGGCTCGATCTGGTGGTTTCCTTTGCTTTCATCTTTCCTTTCCAGAACACTTTTGCCTATACAACTTTCCGGTTTTAGATTCATAACTGAACGCTTTTCCACACCCTTTTTATGCCGAAGCTTACCTTTATTTGAAAATTAGTGTTTTTGTTCTCCAGACAAGTTTGGTGCCAGCTGCTCTGCCTCAAGTATGAAAACGAGGCTAAAAGCGAATTCCATCGAGACTGTTGACCTCCGCCAATGAGCGTGAGAGTGTGTCCCTTGCCCCTACACCCCCTTACCATCGCAAGCTCAAATCTGTAGATGCCCCGGATAAACATGGTTGGAAGAACATGCGAGCGAGTTATTGCGGATATGGGTATTTGTACATCATGACAAACAGCATGAAATTGTGAGGTAAAAATATCGCCACTCGCAATCAGATAAACCCCAAGTTGTTGAGTAAATTTGACGAATCTCCTGTAACAGCGAGTCAGTCAGCTGTGTGGAGGGAGTGCTTAAATTGATCCATTCAAAACGTGAATTGCTGAGGTGGAGTTTAATAATCACCCTTCAGATTTTGTTGTAAATCTCACTGGTTCCGTCGAATGCTCTCCGTAGGGCGTAACGTTCCGATAATATTCTTCGCGCAGAACTCAACTCTCGACGTCACGCTTTATTTCCGATGGGGTGAGTTTTTTCATTACAGATCTAGAGAACCGTTAATCTCCCAGTCCTTGGACAAGAACCCAGATTATGCGGCTAAAATCTCTTAAATTTTATCGTGAATATCTCTTGGTCAGTCTGTCGTAACATCAGCGTAAAGCCTTAAAACACCTCGCCAATATCTATTAGACAGATCCCAGCCGTATTACTGTGACACAGTTTCAATGAATTCAAGCACGAAAAGTCGTTTATATTTACATTAATAATGCTGTTCAACATCATGTGAGCGTCTAAGTGCAACTTCCCCAGTTACTGTTGTGTGGTTCAAATAGGTATTTACTGCTTCAGTTGCTATACAATTCTTCGTAAACACGACGTTGGTTGAATTCCGCACACTTACCCACAATAATCCTAGTTACTACAAAGCGTTTCGTCTGTCGTTCTACGTGTCTGTCACGAAGTTCCCTGGCTCCTGGGATCGGCCGGGAGAGCCCGGATAAGGTATGGGATGGGCTACGAAAACTAAACAGACGCAGCCCCAGTGAACCACCTACAGTGGCCGTGGAGTGCATCGAAATGAGTGGCACTGACGACAAGGATTTCAGATACTATACCAACTCTGGTAACTCGAAACTGGGGAAAAAGTGTAGGTAAAGGTGTGCATTCCTGAGTCAGACCGAATTAAGGAGAGCCCCCATGCAGGCTCCACAATTGAGCATGCTTAATGAAAAAAATTGATAACTTAGTGGGGAGAAGGCGTTCAACCGCAGAAACAAATGGTGTAGGAAGCATAATATTAAAAGGTAAGTCCCAGCATACGTTACAACCCTAGTCTACGGAGGCCCGCCCACATGGCGGAACACGCCTCTTGCACTTGTTCATGCGTTTTCTACAAGTCCTCATAATGAAGTCGATAAAGTATGGGGAGCGGGAAAAAAGGTGAGAGATGGATGGAGGAATGAAGGTGAACTGCCATCGTGGGCTAGACATGTTCGAAGTCGGCGGAGTTTGCTACGAAAATTCATAAGTCGGTTCCAAGAAGTCCTGGAGACCGGGAAAAAAGTGAAGTGAGGCCCTCAACGGAAGGGAGGTCAACTGTTGGTGGGGGGGGCGTGCATCAACGTGGGCGGAACCATTTTGCCATATTCATAACTCGGTTCTAGGAAGTTCCAGAGTTCGGGTAAAAAGTGGGGAGAGATTGGCGAGGGAGAAAAAGATACGTGGGACATGCAACGAAGAGGCAGAGTTTACCCACAAGATTTATAAATCGGTCCAGAGGCAGTCCGAGACTGGGAAAAGCGGACAATTGGTTGACGGAGAAGGGAAGGCCAACAGCCATAGGTGGATGGAGCATGGGGCAATCGGACAGAATTCAGCCTGAAAGTCAAATATTTGTAGTGTATGGGGCCAAATTCGAGATTTTACGCCCACCATTAATGTCAGAACTGTGGTGCGCGAAACGCGTGCAGCGCCAACTGGTACAGTATATCGTACAATAGTTTAAGGTGCTATAGCAGGATACGGGGTATCCCCTAGGACTAGCCTACTGGGGGAGCAAGAACACCGGAGAAAATGACAATTTCTCCGAGAGTATGCCATTTCCCGTCTAATTCTTAGTCCCGTTTTTAACAAAAAAGAAAATATTTTTATGCGGTTACAAATGCATTGCCAGAACCATGCCCCGTATGTTGCGATAGCACCGCTCAACTTGGAACCACTTTACTAGCTAATCTCACTTGTGTTCTAGTTGTAAGAACACCTGATGCAGAAGATGCAAGGTATTTGAACTCGACACAGCTCAACGAGGTTTACAAGCAGACCGACGAGGACAACGGTGAGAATTGAAACGCTCTATGAAAAACCATCTCTACGGTTTGCTTGAACATGAAATGTTTCAGATAATGGAAATGGAGATTTTGCAAGGATCAGAGGACAATGTCGCGGCAGTGGACAGATCGAAGCTCAAGGCAGCTTTGGCTCCAAGAGGCTTCCCAGGCAAGGTGAGAGGCACTGCGATTTCTCATAATTACCCTATTATTCGCCAAAGACTTATGTTATCTAGGGAAAACATTTTTCATACAGCCACATAAAGGTGAGCTTCGACCGATCGCGCACTAACATCGCCGAATTCGTAGCGATGGAGCACCAGTTACCGTAAGAGCTTCTCTACAACTCATCGCCTGATATATATATGTATAATAATTATTTGGGTTTCTCATACTCCTCATTAAATTGTATGTTGGTGTTGATCGATTAACTAAGTTAATTTAAATAATAGTAAATCCAACTGTTATGGTTTCTAAAGAAAAAGTTTCTAAAGAAAAGTTTCCTGTCGAAGCGGAAGGCAGAATCGGTACAGTAGATTTTTGTACACATGATGTTTCTGATGAGAATGAATTGGGGCTACACGGTGACGTCAATCACCGCTTTGTGGTGGCTGCGGCGAGAACGCCGCTGCGCATTTGCTTATAGACCGCGCCCTGGTCACAACTCCGCGAACGGTGAGAAGCGAGACCGCCGCCGTCACACTCGGCGACGGAGAAGCGAGAGCGATCTCGATTCCTCCATCGCTTGTCCGAGTGTGACGGTGGTCTTAGCATATACGTGTGTATGGGAACTTCATCTTCATCATTCTAATCATTCTAAATTCCAAATCATCATTCTAAAGCAACCCGCTCACGCGAGGGTTGCTTTAGATGAAAAGTATGCCGACTTTTTTCACTTACTAATTATCTGATGCTTAGGCATGCTGACTTAAAGTACTACACGTGCACTGGATTTGTAAAATCTATGTTACTTCTTGGCACAATGATGAACCTCATTCGATGGATTTCAAAAATTCCACAATCTCTTCTCTCCGGGGGTGGGGGTTTACGATTGTATCCCCCTTCATCCCACATGAAGGGTCTCCCACGAAAATACGACCCCCGTCTGACTCGATCGGTCCCAGGGTTGACCATGCTTGGTAGCAAAGCTTGCCGAAAAACTGTTATCAGTATATTGAAATAAAGTTTACTTTTCTTTCAAAAGAGGCCCGCTGGCCATTCATGGGGAATGCCTGTGGGCTGTTGTTTTTAGACATTTGTTAGAACAAAGGCGATGAGCATAAAAATGCCGCGAATTCTTTTGACCAAGGATGGTAGTAAACCTCCCTTTACTCCGGGTTAAAGTGTGGTGATTAGCTCAGGTGAAAATGATGAGCTCTTTCTTGCCTTGCAAACCAACATCCGCACTGGGTTCCCTTGTTGTCGTTTATCTAATACATCGATCTCAACTGCGGTCAGGAAATCCATCGCTCTCCCTGAAGCATCCATGACTTTCAGCGATTTTGGTAGAAGCGATTTGTTTGACCTTTGCATCAATGTCGATCCCGTCTTCCATGGCTTCTTCAAGCACCTTTGCCGATAGAATCGATACTTCCGATCCCATATCAAGTAAAGCCTTCCTGTCTCTCCTGCGGATTGACACGTCAATTGTTGATCGCTTGCCAACAATGTTTGGAGGAGGATCGCTATAAACATGTCCGTGTTTATTGCTAATATCACTACAATTCACTCCACGAACTCGTGCCGATAAGGACATAAGACGATTTGTCTCGCCTGTGACCGTACTCTTGCAGCCACGCGCCATGTGACCGGCCTTCTTACATTTGAAGCATTTCATATCCAGTGCCTTCTTTATTCGCCTTACTATTCTTGCTGGCTTCGAGCTCTGCTTACTCTTATCTTCCTCTCGTCAGAAATGAAGCCCCTTGAACCATGCGCTCGAAGGGACCTTTGCCCTTACGCGATTATGGAAAGCTAAATGCTCCTTTCCACTCTCATAGCGGCATCTTCCAGCTTCTCATACATGTCGCCACCAGGTCCTTCCAAAGCCTCTTGTAGGTGGACAGGATTCGTCCCAGTGGGAGAGTTGGTCATACAAGTGGTCTGCACGAATGACTGACAACGTCCTTTCCTCCAATTCAGGATAGGCTCTACGTGTCAGTCGCTCTAATTCAACACAGAAATCCCCTACTGACTGTGACTCGGGTTTTCTGAGACGCTTAAGTTCACCTAGTGCGATAATTTTCTTATTGCGCGTTTCTTCCTTGCACATTTCTTTCATCGCATTCACTAATGTGTAAAAGGTGCGCTTTTTTGTTTTGGCCAGCGCTTCATACTGCGCTCTACGGTGAAACATCAGCTAAGGCAACATATCTCAAATGTTTCCCATTGTATCTTGGGTTCTTAATCAGACCTCCTATGATGTTTCCTTATTACTCTTTCATTCATGCTCTCACTATTTGGCTTCTCTACTGAACTATCGGACGTGCCTCGCGATGTCGAAGTCCTGCTCGAGAAATCATTGGAGCTCACGCGCCGACAATCCCTCTTTCTCACCAGCGTATCCCAGCCAATCTGCAACTTTGCATTCTCTTCTTGGCTATCATTGGCATGTGGAATGGCCACTGCGCGCTCTTCACGACTACAAGAAGGACTTCCAGTTCTGTACACGGCCGCCCTTGTTTTTACAAGTCTTCGCTTGAGGGCGTAAGCATTTTCCAAGGTTTTATTGCTCTTCATTACCCTTTTTACATAACGCGTAACTTTGTGGTCAACACAGCCTTACGTGCTACCCTCTGTAGGGCTTTCATGCTCACTAGGATTTGCCTCAGATTACTAATTAGCTCCTCTTCTCCGTTCTCGTCCTTGTGTTTCACTACAACTAGCGCGGCTCTGATGCTGCGACTCTCTACAATCCGCTTAGTCGCTCTAATCTTTTCTGTATGCGTGCCATGCTTCGCTCTACTACGGCCTGTATTGGACACGCCTCCCATCGCCTAGACGAAGGTGTTTGGAAATTTGTGTTGGAATTTCTACCCGCAAGCAATTAAACCTCTATAAGCTTGAGGCATACCTGCATTTCAATGTCTGAATCTGAACTATGGGCACTGACCGTATCATCGATTCCAGCGGCCATCTGTGCTGGCTCTCGCGACTCTGGAACAAAGCACGTTTGTTCTGTCTCAAGAATGGTGTTGGGCTTATTTTGCATTTACACGAGACATTTCGCGAATATTACGACAATATCGAAGCGCTGTGTGTGTCTTGGCCTTTTCCTTGACGTCCATCCGTGCTTCAACACAACTGGCTACTTCGACGGCACTTTACAGTGTCACGTCCGAAGGCCAAATACCACGGTATCAACGACAGCAATTACTACCGGCACCGCTGATCGGCATCTGACACTCTTTTTCAGAGCCGTCAGAGATCGTTATATTAGCGAAACCCGAGAAGGAGCCGTTAGAGAAGCTGCAAAATGAAGAGCCCAATGTGATCGCTGAATTCGGCTTGGCCAAAAAGTCAAAACGTTTGTGTGGTGTGTGTGCCCTGCTTTACTCTTAGCGGTTACAGAAGTAAATAACAGCTAATGACGATTAGAGTACAGTGAGAATAGATTGAATAACTGAGAGGTGGAGCTGGGTGAGTGATGATGGGACTGGCGAAGACGAGAGTCAAATCCGGAGTACCGATCACTTGTGTTTTACTGGGCGTTATATACGGTAGTTCCCGCATCATTCTTGCCAACGGCATGGTAGGTGGTCAAAATAGGACCACCCACCGTGATCGCCGGGCGGTCACCGGGCCGTGTTTGATCGACTTTTCTGACAATAAAGATCCTTCTCGATCGCTTTTCTTCAATTGCATGAGCGAGATCTTGGAGCTGAGTGCTGTAGATGCTGTTCTGGCTTAGGCTGCACGGGCGGATCATCTTCTTTCGGGAGCCGGACAGCGACCCTCTTATTGTTGTCATGGAGGATCCAGCTTTCAGCTCGTCACCAGATCCTACAGAAAGTCCTTTTGGTTGAGGGTGAGGAGGAGCGACTGGCTGATTGAGACGAGCGCAAGAACTTCTGTGTAACCATGCTCATGAAGACGCCCTTCGCTCACTCTTATCGCACTCGAGAAACCCCGCTTAGTCTCTGCTGGCAGCCTCTGGCTTAATTTCAAATCGCTAAGAAATCGGGCATCATAGACGGCAACTGGTCGTCCGTAGGGAGTAACGTCGTCGAGCGTCGCATATTCAGAATGAAATCGAGCAAATAATCGACTACAGTCGCATGGCTTACGTAGTCCTCTCGAAGTGAAGTGTTGGTCCTGGAGGCAACAGAACAGGCATTGAAGTCGCGGCGTCATTCGAAGAAGGCGAATGCTCAAAGTTGGTTACTCAGCAGTTGTGATTTGCAAGAGAAGCGCTGGGATATTTATTTGTATAGT